CAAAAAAAAAAAAATCCTTCCACGGGTTTGGATGCGTGGTTTCCCTCCAGAGCCTGTAGCCCTGGAACCCGCCCAGTGTGGGTGGGGGTCAGTGAGTCACAACCAGGTCCTGTTTTATCTCCACACCCACTCTGCTCACGACTGCCCAGCTGTTCTTGCTGGGGTTGGTCAGCTGGTGAGCTGTGCTGCCTCCTCGTGACGGCTCCCCGGGTCGGTGCTGCTCTGTGTTCCTCAAGTCACTGCTCTGTGTCATCTTTGTGGCTTATGGGCGCATGAGATTTTTCTCTCTGTCCGTACACCCAGGATGTGGCAATTATTCAAGCCAAAGCAAATACCTCATCCTGTTGTCAGACAGGAAAAGCCAACAGACACTGAGCTCTGTGCTGGAAGCAGGCAGCAAGCGGGCCCAGTCGGCTGGGCTTAATAACGTCAGCCCTTGCACACTCACCCCCCAAAAACCCCACGGCTGGCCTGACTTCTTAGGACAGGCTGCGACCGCCATACCTCTCACCTGGTCAAGCTGCTGAGGGGATCTGAAATCAGCCCACTCCTCTGTCTCCACCCTGTGGCAGAGAAACCCCAGAGAGCCTGGAGTAGTGTTGTTCTGTGACTTCTGACTCTAAGAGGAGCTCAGTCTTAAGCAAGAAACCTCTTTCCACGATACCTTTTGACTGTATCACTCCCAGGTACGGTGGACACTGCAGAGAATTTCTTCTCCGACTCTCACTTGCGCGTGAACTCACAGTCTGATGGCCGTTCTGGGGCAGCCTTGTCGGCTCATTGCGTCTCCCTGGGGCTGTCGACCCCCCGCCAGGTTTGTCTTGTGTTTTTGGAGCCAGAACCTGGGGCCTGGTTTAGTGCTCCAGACCGCTTCTTCTCTTCCCTGCTTTTTCTTCAGAGTCTCTATAGTTTCCGTGTTTCCTGTCGGCCTTTCCTTGATTCCCAGAGTTCTGCTTTTTCCTTGACTAAGTTGTTTTCCAGGTGTTTCAATTCCAGGTCCAGCGGTGCTGTATTTTCCATCGGTCTTTGTGCTGTCATTTTATATATGAGCAGGAAATGTAACTCTTTTGCTTTAATTACAATATAGCCAAATAATAAACTAAACAGCGATACCGCTGTCTTTATGTGAACATTGGCTGTTACATGGGCTCAGAACTGAGCTCTGGCCTCTCACTAAACAGTGACTGACTTAAGATAGCATAAATAATAGAAAACCTTCAGTGGACATAATAATCTTTAGTAACCAGACTATTCATAATGGCATTTTATCTCAGAGTGAGCCCTATACAAGCAGCCCAAATTTTACCATAGAGACACTTGAATGTATATCAAAATAATATAATAGCAATAAACTGAGAGGCTGAAGGACAGGTATTTGGAGAAGCTGGTGACACTGAGCATGTGGCCCTCTCATGGCAGTAGGTTAAGATGCCCCAGGCGGGGTTGGGGACTGGCAGTGAGCGACAGTTGATACAAGGTTTGGAGTCCCTTTATGGCTACAGCTTAGCTCTCTGTTTTTATCTAACTATTAATTATGCTACTGTTTGGTTAATCTTTCAGGCTCCATGTTTAATACCAAGTCAAAACGAGTACCGTGTTAGTCAAAGTAGATGTATTTGTCAGGGTTCCTCATGGGGCCGTGTCAGGCGCCTCCTGTGCCTCCTCCAGTTCTCCCTCTGCAGTTGGGGTGGGTCACGGTGTCCCTTCACCTTGTGGCTTGTCTTAGATGCACACGGACAGTCTCCTCTACAGTAACTCTCTGTTTTGTAGCATGTACACCAGTTGACTCCTGTCCCCTGGACTCCAACAGTACCCCTGCTTGGGAGACTGGGTGACTCCCCAGAATTGCCCGATCATCTTAGAGGGGTCCTGTCACTTCCTGAGTTCTGGCTGACTATGGGGGGCAAAGATCAAAATATTCTCTTCCCTCTCCGGGCTTCTTAAACTCTGACTGGAAGCCTCACTCGTTGGACACCCAGGAGGTCAGTTCCACTAGTTCTAAAGCGGGAACAGTAGGTCTTAATCTAAATTGCGTGACTCTTTGGAGGTTGGGACCCTTTGAAATATAAAATGTGACAGGAGGACCCCTTTATTTAATAGCAGTATTAATAGTAGGAGATTGCGTCGCGTCCATCTGTTCTGTAGGTGGCAGGCTGTCATCTTCCCATACTGTTAGAAGTTATTTTCTGGAAGTCACTGACTTACAGAATGTTAGCAGACAACAGTTATAAAGCCTTATAAGGAAATTATAAAAGAAAACTAATAAGAGCAAAATCCAGCTCACGTAGCGCACTTAGTTGTGAATCAAGAAACATGACTGACGAGTCCAGCCTTGTTTAGAGGTGCCCAGTGCTGGCTGCCCTCGTCCTCCCTCCGGATTCAACTTTCACAGTGCGCTCTTTGTTTCTGAATCTCAAGGCCTTTGGCTGACTGGCACTCAGGCAGGCCGACGGCTAGTGGAACGCACACTTGAGGTCCAGATCCTTGAGTCCCAGGCTCGGGAGGCCTGCGGGTCAGCAGGTCCCCTCCACTTGTGCTACCTCCCCCATCTCTTCTGGGGAGCAAGGAGGGACTCAAAAGTGGCCAGCTGGAGCTCTGCCTTTTACTTGCTGTGTGCCTTGGAGAGAGTCTTGCTGTTCAAAATCGTGAAGTGGAGGGCGGGTGAGCCAGGTAATAAAATAATTTACCAAGGCTGGACAAGAAAGAGATGCACTGGGCACCCCGAAGGGGAGCTGACCTGGACTTCCCAGAGAGAGCTGCACACCTGGGGAGAGCCAGGGGAACCTGTGTGAGTCTCTGCATCCTAGGAAGTTACAGATGTGACCATGGACACAAGAAAGGACAGTTAGGAGGGACCGGTCGGGCCATATGTTTTTGCGTCCTTGAAGGCCTTCGTATGTTATCTTTACCACGGGATTTGGCATCCGGGTTATGGGGTGATGTAATGGTCATGCTTGTTGTTTGGAGGAATGTTAATGACTTTTGCTGTAGATTTCAGGAACAGCTCATTCAAAAAGAGAGTACAAGATTCTGGTACAGGGCCGAATCGAAGTCGGAATGACCATCCCTGGCTGTATCTGCACGTCTTGGTCTTTCTGTGCATGAGATTGCCTCCAAGATGTCAGGGCCTTGATCCTCCCTCCTGATCTATAAAGGACTGGCGGAGGGTGGCAGTGCCCCCAGCTTGCAGTGCCTGGTGACTGGTGGGGTCCAGACCCACTTCCCTGCCACTGGCACCATTGACTCCCTTTGCAACCCCGTGTCCTGTGTACCAGGGCTGGGGGCGGGGCTGTGCCAACACAGACCCCACTGTGGCAAGCCGGGATGGAGGGGAGAAGGTGCAGTTTCAGCATCAGGCCGCTGAACCACTGCAGCCCGCCCACTGCGGCGGAGGCAGGAAGAGGGTGGGGCCTGCAGGCAGATGTCCTGGGGTCCTCACTCAGATCTGGCCTCCCAAAGCAAGGGCTCTGTGAGCAGGAAGTGGAACCCCAGTACTGAACCCAGCAGGCCTGGGACAAGGGCCAAGTGAGCCGAGGCGGATCAGCTGGGCCCACAGAGCTGGTACCCGGGCCGACAGGAGAGAAGGTGAGCAGAGCTGCGGGAGGTGAAGCCACAGGGCCACTGCTCCCTGGGTGACAGGAAGAGGAGGCGGCAGGAGGACAGTCACAGACAAGGGACTTTCCCATGGCTGCAGACAGCCTTGTGAGAGGAAAAGGAAACCAAAGAGCGCAGATCAAGGAGGTGCTCAGCCAGGCCAGATGGAAGGCAGCCAGGACAGGTACTCTGTGGCTCTTGTCCCCAGCCCGCTGAGCCCCAGGCGCAGCCTCCTGCTGGGGGCTCCCCCAAACCCAAGTCCTGTGTCTCCAGGCCCCTGGACAGATCACGGTGCGGCCATGGGGGCTTCTCAGGGATTCCCAAACTCAGCTTTCCAGTTGAGGCTAAGAGATGATTGAGACATGGAAAGCAGCCCTGTAAATTTCATCATAAAGATGTGCATAATTGTATAATCTGTGCACTGTAGAGGGAAAAGTCCATATAAGATAGGAAGCTACATTATGCCCCATGGGAAAAAAGAAGATACCACTCATGTGAAACAAAAATTAAATTGTTTTTAAAATAATTATTATAAGTGGTTTCTAGCATACCTACCAGTGTAGCTCTTCAGGGCTGAGACAGGAGGACCCACCATGGCCAGACAGTGGCAGGACAGAAAGGCAGAGTGACAGAACAGGCCTCAGGGCACAGTCAACTGCTCCACTGAGGTACTTTCCTCAGCCCCTGGGGAGGTGACAGCAGATCTCTCACAGGCCTGACAAAACCACAAAAGCAGAATGTTTACCCAAATTGACAAACGTCCCCAACGAGACACCTAAGTCAGCCCTCCAGGCACACCCACTCTTGGTCAATTTAAAAATCCTCATTTTAGAGGCTACACAAGCTCGGCCCCCACATGATGGGCAGCCCCATCTCCAGGTTTGCCATAGACACTGTTTCCCCCAAAATAAGACCTAGTCAGAAAATAATCAGTCTTGAAAACTAGAAAGCAAAAATGCCAGCCCAGGCCACCTGTCCTTGCCTCGCCTGCCTTACAGAGGAGCCACAGAGGAGCAAGAGAAGTGATGGGACTCAGGCCACAGACGTGCGAGTGTCACGAAGCCAAGGGACAGAGGGTTGTGCAGGACGAGGATGCACCCAGTTCTCAGAGAGGGGCCCTCCCCGAGCCCAGGCATAAGGGTGACGTGGGCAGTGTGTCCCCGTGCAGAGCGCTGGCGCCTGAGCTGCAGGGTTGCTGGGCAGCTGGGTGCCCAGGAGGCAGCGTGGAGGGTGGGAGAGAACTCTCCCCTCCTGCAGCTCCCAGCGGCCCGGCTCCTCTCTGCTCTCCACGGAGCCTCTCTTCCCCTCTGCGGTGCAGAGATACACACCAGGGTAGGTTGCGCAGACCCGACCCCGGGGCACCTCGGGAGGCCCGAGTACATCTGAGTTTCCTCCTTGTTGCACAGGAGGGGGAAGATGCTAAAAGAAGAAACGTTCCGTGTCCAGTTTAACAACGCGCACAAGGCCCAGAAGCCCTACCGCCGCAGGGTGACATACCTGTGCTACCAGCTGCAAGAGGCCAACGGCAACCTGACCAAAGGCTGCTTTCGGAACAAGGTGCAGACAGGCCCTGGGTGTGCGGCAGGCGGGGCTCGGCCACCTACGGGGTGTACAAGGACAGTAGGTGTCGTGCAAGTAGGAGTCCTTGATTGCCACTTGAAGGCCTCCGTCTTCCTGACCCCTGCTGGGCTCCAGCCTGCCCCTCTCAGACCTAGCAGAGGCTGTGTCCTCCTCCTGCCCAGCCCTCTTCTTGCCCCTCCTGGGGAAGTTAAATGTCTGCCAACCTCATGTCCCTTCTCCTTCCCATGTGTCCTAGAGGCTCTCAGTCACCTTAAACTGGTGGCGATCCTCCTGCCTCAGCCTCCTGGCCGCTGGGATTACAGGCATGCACCACTAGGCCCAGCTGGCTCAAACATCTTTGGACAGCCTTCGGGCAAGTGTCCCATATCATGGTCACAGAACTTTTGGGCCTGCACCCTGGAGATGTGGTCTGGCTGGCCCCACTCTGTGTGCACTAGAATCCTTGTCCAAAGCCTTGGGACAAATTGGACTGCATAATGAGTTCAAAACCATCCTGAGGTACAAAGTGAGACCCTGTCTCAGAAAGCAACAAAACAGAACCAACAAAGCCATGGGAGCTTTGGGGATACAGAGTCAGGGGCTGGAGGGGGAGCGGTTTCCTCCTGTGCTGGGCGAGGGTCCCACGCCCCAGCCCCAGCTACAGGACCCGTGCCTGCTGCCTTCTCACCCTTTCTTTTTGCCTTCTGGGACCCCTCCAGAAAGGTCTCCACGCAGAACGTCGCTTTATTAAGAGGATCAGTTCCATGAAACTGGACCAAGCCCAGAGCTACCAAATCACCTGTTACCTCACGTGGAGCCCCTGCCCACTCTGCGCCCAGGAACTGGCTCAGTTTAAACACTCTCACCCACGCGTGCAACTGAAGGTCTTCGTCTCCCGCCTGTACTTTCACTGGAAGAGGACCTACCAGGAGGCGCTGCACCGGCTGTGCACATCCCAGGTCCCAGTCACTGTCATGGGCCTCCCAGGTAGGAAGGAGGGACAAGGAGACACAAGCCACGGGTGGACAGAGGAGAGGTGGGTGGGAATAAAGGATGGTGGCCCAGCTGAGGCCCAGGGGCTGGCACCCCCTGGAAGGCATAATCAGGGCAGCGAGCGAGGCCCCAGGAAAGGAAAGTGGCAGGAAGGGGGCCCTGCGCCGGGCGCAGCACTTCCCGGCTTCCTCCTCCCTCTCAGAGTTCGCTGACTGCTGGGACAACTTTGTGGACCACCAGTCAGAGCCCTTTAAGTCCTGGGACAAGCTGGAGCAGTACAGCAACAGCATAGAAAGGCGCCTTCTGCAGATCCTGAAGGTGAGTCCCTGTCACCGCCTGGGCGCCCTCCCGCCCCCTCCCACCTTGTCCCAGCTCCCACCTTTTCTCTTCCACCCGCAACCCCCAAGTCCTCCTCCTCTCGCCCTGCTTCCGTGCTGGGTCCCGTCTCTGGCCAGACCCCCTGGGCCTCTCCCTGGCTCCTCCCCGCAGTGTCTCTCTCTCCCATGCACAGACCTGATCTCTCTCTCCCTCTCTCTCTCCAGTCCTGGGGTGTGGATGACTTAACGGCTAACCTCAGAACTTTGCAGCTTGGACCCACCTCCCCCCCAGTGGCGGGAAGGGACCCCTGATGACCGCCCCAGGCATCACACGCACATCTGCCTCCCCGCCATCCCAAGCCTGGCCTTCATCCATGTCCAGAAAGCCTTCCCTCCCTCCTCCATCTTTTGTTTATTTTTTATAATTGGGTTTGTACTTTTCTAATTTAAAAAAAAAGTCACGATAACTTCAAAGTCCACAGAACCTGGCTTACTGTCTAAGGGAGGAATCAGGTCCTCTCATAAAAAGGAGAATAAAAGGCTCTTGTGGAACCAAGAAAGACATTTGTTGGGAGAATGCCCTGGAGCATCTGGCACTCCTGCTGTCCTCTGTCCCTTCTGTAGGGAGTGCCGCGCCGGTGGCCTTTGGAGGGCAGTCAGAGGGTACCCAGACTAGAGCGCGCGCAGGGGGAAATGCACCGAGCGTCCTCGGGGTGCAGGAGCGGGCACCGCTGGAGCCCAGGGGGAGCTCATTACGGAAGGGACCGGTTGGGTCTGACGCTGACCTGCGGCGGCTCATTCTTGGCTGTGAAGGGCAAAGGGGCCGAGCGTGCTTGTGTCCCTGGGGAGGTCTGTTCTGACACCTGAAGGCGTTGGCTGCCAGCTGTACACCTGGACCCCCACAGGCAGGAAATGTTTCCACTGTCCCACTGTCTGCCATGAAAAATATTTTCATTGTCCACATAAAACTTGACTGAGCAGAGAGGCCCTGTAGAATTGATTGAAAAATAAACAGCCAAAATACCGACAAACTTGAAATGGCATTATTCAGAGTTCTGATTAACACCTGGAACAAGCAACCTCGCTGGTCAAGCCCCGCCACCCACACCTGGACCTGGGTGCTGACCCAGAACCTCTGTCTCGGCTGCTGCCACTGTACTGGGTGCCACCAGAGTGAAGAAAAACGAAGCAGGAAGGAAAATGTCACAGTAAAGGGTATCACACTAAATGTGAACAGAAAAAATCCTGCCGCAGCGCTGACAAGAAACAGTGAGAAAGAGGGGGCGAGGAAGAGAAACCATGAACAAAGAGATGGCACGAAACCCTCAAATTTAAGAAGCAGGAGCGGAGCATTAAGTGGGTTGTGGTGGCACAAAACCTGTACCCCAGGACTCTGAGAGGCTGAAGCAGGAAGAAGCATTAAAAGTTTGAGCCTCAGGCTGGGAATTTAGCTCAGCGGCATAAGCACCTGCCTTGCAAGCAGGTGGTTCTGAGTTCGATCCCCGGTACTGGAAAAAAGAAAAAGAAAAAAAAAAAGATAAAAAAAAAGTTTGAGCCTGAGCCAGGCACGGTGGCACACACCTGTGATCCCAGCTGAGGCAGGAGGATCACCGTGAGTTTGAGGCCAGCCTGGGCTACATAGAGACTTCAGGGCCAGCCTCAACTTCAAAGCAAAACCCTGTCTCAAAAGAAAAAAAAGAGAGAAAAAATAGTTTGAGCCCAGTGTGGGCAAAGTAGCAACAGTAATTTTGTCTGAAAGAAAAAGAAAGAAATATGACACAAGGTTGAGTTTAAAGCAAATTAAAGAGGGATTTAACACAGCCAGGCACCATGGCACACATCTATATCACCCCGGCATTCAGGGGCCCGAGGCTAAAAAAAAGGTTGCCAAGAGTTTAAGGTCAGCCTGCACTACATGGTAAATGCAAGGCCATCCCAAACTATTCATGGCGACCCCATCATGAGCAACAAATAGGAATTTAATGTAGTGACGTAAGGGATAAACTGAAGAATAAACTAATCACAAATTGGTATGCATCAAAGCCGTTGCAGTTAAACTCGAAGAGGAAAAACTATCTGGAATCTAGTTTAGACAGAATGCCATTGTTGGTAGCCCAGGGTGTGAGTCATGATTGCCTGGGTCATGTAACCCTATCCCCTGTCACACTTTTTTCTTTTGAGACAAAGTCCTGATTTGAAGTTCAGGCTGGCCATGAACTCACTTTAGCCCAGGCTGGCCTCCAACTTGTGGTGACCACCCTGGCTCAGCCTCCTGAGTGCTGGGGTGACAGGCATGTGCCATCACACCCAGCTGTCAGACATTTCTTATCTTCTCAAAGACAGGTGAGGCCATGTGGCCCAATTATAAACAATCAGTGTAAGAAAATGTTAAGAGAGCCTTCTGATTTTTTAAGAGACATTTGAGGCAGGGAGAACTGAATCTCATTTTCCCCTCCTTTGTTTTTCCTGTGTATAAGTGGGATAGAGCATGTGATGTCTGGAACTGTTGCAGCTTTCCTGCAGTGATGAGCATGAGGACAGACAAAAAGCCAAGGTGCTGGGGCTGGGGATTTAGCTCAGCGGCATAAGCGCCTGCCTTGCAAGTAGGCAGTTGTGAGTTCGATCCCCGGTACCAATAAAAAGGAAAAAGACAAAAAAAAAAAAAAAAAAAAAGTTTAAAAAAAAAAAAAAGCCAAGGTGCTACTGCTGATGAGGCAAAATGCTAGAAAAAGTGTAAGTCCCTGAGGACAGTGTTAAGCCATGGAAACATCTACCCTAGAAATAGCTACTCTCAGGCTTGTTAAATGAATAACAAATGTCTGCATCATCCAACTTACTGTTAGATGGCCATTGGGATGGTGGATCTTCTCTGTTAACTTGACTGGCTTGAGGAAGTTCAGTTCTGGGTGTGTCTGAGTGGCTCATGGAGGAGTGACCTTGGGTGTTCACATAGCCCCTGGCCCCTTCCTCTCTGCTTCCTGGCTGCAGTGGGATAAGCAGCTTCACTCATCAGTGACTGAATCCTCTGAAACCAGGAGCCAAATTTAAAAGTTCCCTCTTGGGCCTGAACCTCTGCCTGGTAAGCACAAGGTTGTGAGTTTGATCTGGGACAAAAAAAAGTTTCCTCTTTAAAGGTTGCAGATGCTAGGTATTTTGTTCCAACAAGAAAGCAAATAGGTGTTCTACTATTTGTAGCCAAATGTGTCCTAATATAATTTTTTTTTTTTTTTTTTTTTTTTTTTTTGGTCTTTTTCCTTTTTACCGGTACCGGGGATCGAACTCACGACTGCACGCTTGCAAGGCAGGCACTTATGCCGCTGAGCTAAATGCCCAGCCCCTTCCTAATATAATTTCAAGCCCATGAAATGGACATGGCAAAAGCTATACAAGAAAAAAAAAAAAAGGTATTTTTTACTCAAAAATAAGGGGCAAATAAACCAGAAATCCAGAATTAATCAGAGCTGGGCGTGGCAACACACACCCATAATCTCAGTAACGGGAAGACTGAGGCAGGAGGATCACTGCCAGAGCCTTGAACTACACAGCAAGATTTGGCTTAAAATAGTAAATAATAATAACAATCAGAAAAAAATTAAGTGGTAGGAAAAGTTAGAAAAAAATATATAAAAAGCATGATAGGGCTGGGGATTTAACTCAGCAGCATAAATGCCTGCCTGGCAAATGTGAGGTTGCTCCCAAGTTCGATCCCCAGTACCAAAAAAAAAAAAAATTAAAAATGTGCCCCCCCCCAAAATAACAGTAAAGTAGATAAGCACAGAACAGATCTAATAAAAGAAAAAACTGACAGCAAAAACATACAAGATATGAAAAAATAAATATAACCCTGATAAAGTAAATACTGAAAGAATTAGAAGAATATTACATGGGGCTGCGAAATTAGGTCAGTGGCATAGCACCTGCCTTGCAAGCAGGCGGTCATGAGTTCGAGCCCTGGTACCGATAAAAAAAAAAAAAGAAGAATATTACAGGTCTACTTAAGGAAACAAATCTGAAAACTTGGAGAAAATGAGCAAGTCCCTAATTAACACCAGCTGACCTAAGAAGAAACAGAAGACATGTGTAGATCTAGTACCATGGAGGAATCTATAAAGTACAACACTTTAAAAAAAAGTAAAAACACTATGACCAAATAAATCTATTCACAATCAATCAAGCTTTAAATATATAATTTTAGTGTTAGCAAATGATTACAAATTATAGAAAAATATGGAAAATTCTCCCAATTTAAAGTGTGAAGATACTTTTTTTTTGGTAGGACTGACTGAACTCACAACCTTGCGCTTGATAGGCAGGCTCTTGTGCCACTAAGCTAAGTCCCTGGCCATGAAGAGATACCTTAATTTTAAAAAGCCCTCTAAAGACAGCAAAAAAAAAAAAGAAATTTCATGATTAAATTTTACTTATGATGCAAACATAAATATTTAAAAATAGTTAAAGTACTACCGAATGATATAGTATGATTCAGTTTATTCTAAAAATATGAATTTCTTCTGTCAAGAAACTAATATAATGCATTCTACAACATAATAAAGAAGAAAAGCTATACAATCATATCAATAAAGGCTAAAAAGATCTTGACAGGAATCAGTCATTATTAAAACATTAAGCAAAATGGCAGTAAAAAATAAGGAAACAGAAAATATTTTTACGAGAAAGATAGCAGTAAATATTATAAATGGAAAAACATTAAAATCATTTGAATTAAATTAAGAAAGTGCCAGGGATGTCACCTGCCAATGTTTACTCAAGATTGTCACAGAGTTCTTTTGGGGGTGGGTGTCCTAGCGCTCTAATGAGTGTAACAAACAATGAAATTTCATAATTAGTATATGAGAAAAGATGACTAAAAAGTTTCTTCTGGGCCGGGGACTTAGCTCAGTGGCATAAGCACCTGCCTGGCAAGTGTGAGGTTGTGAGTTCGATCCCTGAAGTTTCTTCTGTGGTTTTCATTGTTGACCATTTTATACTTTTCGGAAGGGGGAGCGACATCACACTTAAAATAACAACAAAAGTGATGAAATGCAGTCAGCACTCGCGAACTGTTAGTACGCAGTCGGCTAGGCCCGCGCGGGGCTGGGGAGAGGGAGAGGCCCGGCAGGCGGGAGGTCGCAGCTTCGGGGGGGGGGGGGGCGGAGCCCGCTCACGCACAGTCACGCACAGTCACGCACGCGTAGATCCACGCATGCGCACGTAAGGGAGTCCCTTCGGTAAATACCTGGAAAATCTTCCCCTGGAGGATCCCAGCGTTGACACGCTGCTACGCAGAGCAAGTACAACACAGGTCACTGGCCCACCAGGCAGATGCAAAACTCCGGCAACAAAACTGGTTACATTTCTACACACTTAGAGGGGAGCAATCTGAGAAGGAAATAAAAGAATTCCATTTCCAAGAAATTAGGAAAGTACTCCTTTTTGTTTTTCTTGGTAGCGGGGATTGAACTCCCAACCTGACACTTGCCAGGTAGGCACTTACGTGGCTGAGCCAAAGCTCAGGCTCCAAGGAAATTAGGAAGAAAGCCACATGTTATGGTGGTGCATGCCTCTTATCCCAGCACTTTGAAGGCCGAGACAGGAAGATTGCCATGAGTTGAAGGCCACTCTGAACTCTGCACCAAGACCCCGACTCAAAAACTAAAAACAAAAATAAAATAAGTAAAACACTTAGAAGTAAATTTCACTATGGAGATGAAAAACACAGATAAAAAGACCTCGATACAGAAAACTGCTGAAATTGAAAAGACACAAAGGAAAAGCCATAAAATACCAGCACTTCCCAAAGCAGTTTACATATTTTTAAGATTTCTTATCAAAATTCCAATGGTAGCACTTTTGTTTTTCAGAAACAGAAAAAAAAAGCATCCTAAAATTCTAAGGGAATCTAAAGGAAACCTAAATTGTCAAAACGGGTTTGGGGAAAGAACAAAGATGGACACTTTCACTTTCCGATTTCAAAACATGTTACAGACTACAGTAATCAAAAGGGTGTGGTACTGGCATAAAGACAGACACTGAAACTAAACAGGCTGACAGAATCCAGAAATAAATGTTCAGAGTATGGCTAAAGTGTAAAGCAAATGGTAAAGGAAAAGGTAAGTCTGCCACTTATTGAAGGTCATAAAAAGGCAGACACAGCCCGTACCCATAATTAGAAAGTGGTAAAACTCCACCAGCCTTGCAGTCCAGTGCCAGCTGTGGCATGTAAGATAAGTGTAACTCAGACAAGGGTGCATCTTTTTTTTTTTTCTTTTGGTGCCAGGGATCGAACTCACAACCTCACATTTGCCAAGCAGGCACTTACACCACTGAGCTAAACCCCTGACCCCAGAAGTATGTCTTGCACTAACCCACTCTGAAGTTTCAAGGCAATCAGGTTGGCTGATCTAGAGACAGCTGGGCTTGGTCTAACACAGTCAGACCTTCCCTTCCTGGGAAGGGAGCCCTGACCCTCGCCCTAGCCCTGACCCTCCTCCTACTACAGAATAGAAAATTCCCAACCAACTTTCTGGAACTAAATCTGCCTAACAACAAGTGACAAGACAATATGTAACCAACTATAGGAAGTCTTGTTAGCAGCCTGCTTAGTGCTTCCTGCCAGTCTGTTACGTTTCCTGTTACCAACACGTCGGAACCTTTTCTTAACCCCAAGATAGGGTAATGATTCGGAACTGAGATTACCATCAGGCCGGTGGTAGAAACAGTTGTCTGCCTTCCAAGTTCCTCAGTGCTGAGTGTCTCCCATTTGCTTTGGTCCCATTTTCCACAACAAAAGGGTCTTCAGCAACAGGGGGAAGGAAAGTCTCTTCCACAAATGGTGTTGGGAATATTGGGCCAAACAATGGAGTCAGACAAGGGTCTTGCATTATACACAGCAATGAACTCAGATAGATGAGAGATCCAATCATATGACCCAAAAGATATGAAACCGATGGAAGAAACCATCAGGGAAAAGCATCATCCCAGTAGAACTGGCAGTGAGTCCTTGGAAATGACACCCAAGGCAGAGGGATCACCAAAAGACAGCGCAGAAAAATGGGACAGCCTCAAACTTAAAAATTCTGTGTAGCAGAGTAAACAAGAGCGAACAGAATGTGACAGATCACTGTAAATCACAAACCTGGCTAGGGTTATTACATAAAGAGTTCATCCTCGCCATTGGGTTGTACAAGGCCAAGAGCTATTATGGGGAGGGGTCGCAGCTGAGGCTGCTCCTATGGAAGTTGTCAGCTTTCTGGGCTCCCTTCTGGGCTCTGCCACCTGCTGGCCTGGGTCTGCTTGGTCAAGACTCCCTTGGTCTGTGTTACTGGATTAGGAGCATTCAGCAAAGACAGGATACCCACAGTGGGCTTCGACAGGAGGAAAGTTACTAAAGTTATGGTCACAGTAAAGACCTGGGATATGGGAGGGCAACCCTACCACTGACATGGTGGACACCAGAGACCATGAAAAGACAGAAGCACCCTCAAATGAACTACATAATCTTCTAGAATGACTCTGATCATTCATAATCTGAGGGCACATGCTTGGAAACAAGAAGGATCTTTCAGTCACCTCAGATGACAAACAACTAGTTGGGGAAAATGAATCTGCTATTCAGGATAGAGAAATTTGGGGCTATTCAATGTCTTGCAAAGGAAAAGATAATAAGGATATCACACTTCAGTGGTTTAGTCAACATCCCAGATCTAAAAGCTGAAACATCTCCTGAAGTCTTCTAGTACTTCTTGTCTATAATCCTAGAATTACCTGTTCTTCTGAAGTACTTCTTAGAATATAGTCCTTCCTGATCGGAAGGATCTTTGGTAAGTGCCTTTTTCGGTTTCTTCCTCATGTAGACTGCTGAAGACGTGCACCCCTAATTTTAGGAGAGAATCAGAGCCGGGCGTGGTGGCTCACACCTGTAAGCACTCGGGAGGCTGAGGCGGGAGGATCGTTGCGAGTTCGAGACCAGCCTGGGCTACAAAGTGAGCTCAAGGCCAGCCTGCCCTGCACAGCGAGACCCCGTCTCAAAAAGAGAGAGAATCAGCATACTTGTTTGACTTTTGACCACTTAAATCAAGAAAATTGTGTATTTCTATTCTGCTGTTTCATGGGACAAATTTTTATATTGATTTTCAGGAATGTTTATACTTCATTATGGTTTGTTTGAACTCTACAGCAATCCTCCTGCCTCAGCCTCTTGAGTGCTGAAATTATAGGTTTGTACCACCATGTGTATTTCATACAGAGGTCAGTAGCTTAATACTGAGACTGAGTTGATACAGCAAGGATTTGTAATGCTTCATACAATATTTAGAAAACCTTTAATCCTGACTCCTATGAGATTAAGTATAATGTTTATCTTATTTCACGAACACATATGAAATGTATGATTATGCCTTAGGAATTAAATATATACATATATATATATATATATATATATATAGAGAGAGAGAGAGAGAGAGAGAGAGAGATTTTTTTTTTTTAAATCAGGGCCTTTGCACTGAGCTATACCCAGACCGAGTGTTTTATTTTGAGACAGGTTTTCACTGCGTCTCCCAGTTGTCTAGCTTGGCCTTGAACCTGTGATCCCCTGCCTCAGCCTCCCAGAGTGCTGGGGTTACAGCTATGAGCCACCACGCCATAAGCTCAGAATCATGCCTGGACGCTCTTGACATTATATCCAGTTATAAAGCTGACTTGCAGTACAAAAGATATTCATAAACAAATAAAAATCCTGTTTTTGTTGTTCTTGTTTTTCTTCTTACGTATGTAAGGTTTGGTGATCTTTGGTCTGATGCCGTGAGACATCTTGATTATTGGGAAACCCTGGATCTGCCTGCTTTCTCTCACATAAACACGCAGAGTGTCTATAGGCTGCTCCATGCCCACACAGAGAATAAAGGAACCAGTGCTGTTTACTCTTTGCTTCTAAGATACAGAAATGTCTAAAACCTGGAAATGACCATGTTTTGTAGCTCAGTGCATAAAGGGACACTTTAAGGAGGGAAGGTCTGATTTGGAATTCACTTGACAAAGCCAACAACTCAAGGCACAGTGACAAAAAAAAAAAATAAGGTTTATTGAGTCACCAAGGAATAGAGTTTCTGCTCTCAAATCAGCCTCTCAACGCTAAAGGAATTGAGGAATCCTAGGCCCAGGACGGGGTGGTGGAGAGAGACAGGCTAACGAAAGGAAAGACTGTTCGTGTCTTTTCTTGAAATCGGCGGAGATCTTCCAAGACCTGGGTGCCACCTCTTTCTGCTCCTTTCCTGGTCCTGTGTGGCTGGTCATGGTGGCCGGGAGGTGTCTGTAGTCAAAGGTGAAGTCCGCAGTCAAAGGGGACAAACACAATATGAAAACAGAGATGCCAAATCTTTTCAGCTGTTCCTGCCACAAACTGGCTGTCTGCAGGCCTAAGGGAGGTCAGCGTTTTCAGTACGCAGCCTCAAGTGCCTGAGATGTAATCTGAGCAGCTATAATGGTTAATCTTGTTTTGTTTTTGTTTTTGTGATAGGGTCTTGCTATGTAGTTCAGGCTGGCCTCGAACTCTCAGCCTTCTGAGTGCTGGGATTATAGGCGTGAGCGACTACACTCAGTTGTAATGGTTAATCTTAATTGTCAACTTGATTGGTGTGACAGACTGATAGTCTAGTAAAGCTCCCATCTAGGTGAGTCCTGGAAGCAGGACCTTGGGTCCCTGGCCTCTGACAGCATCCCTATGATGCGGGCTTTGGGGTCACAGAAGATTCCACAACATTCAGCGGCAGGCTGGGGAAGCCAGACATTGTGGGCCAGGATCAGAGTCCCTGCCGGGAGCCCCTAAGAGGACAGCGTGTGAGGCTGCTGGAGCTGCAAAGGAGACGTCGGGAGCTGGAGATGCCAGGCATGGAGTGTCTCCGAGGAAAGCTACAGCATGCAGAGCCGGCCTAGGAGAGAGGCCATGTGGGCTGCAACTGGCAAGGACACAGGGGCAGGGCTGCCCAAGCGCTCTGGGGCTCACATTGTGCTGCCATGGCCCAGGGTCCTGGATGTAGAGGTATACGGCTTAATGTTTGTCCTGCCAAGTTTGAGTCTTGCTCTTTTCTGTTCCCCATTACTCCCTTTGGGATGGGAGGAACCGCTGGATCTCGGGAGCATTAACTTGCTTTGTGAATTTCACAGGGAGCAGTTTAGAGTTGGCCTTGAGTCTCAGAGGGGACTTTGGATTCAGTCTCTGGAGCGATGCTGAGACTGCTGACATTTGGGGAAAGGGTTAGCGCTGCAGGGCACTGGGAATTGTGACCATGGTATTGTCTGCATTTGGGGATTAAGTGTGGTTTAGCTATGTGTTTATGTGCCAAATTGACAGGGGATGGGCTTGCAGTGGTTCATCTTATTTGTCAGCATGATTAGCATGAGATGCCTGGGAGATTGGGGAGGCTCACTTCTAGGTGTGTCTGGTAGGTTTTGGGAACAGGACCCTGAAGTCAGGATCTGGCTACTGGCTGCTTTCTTTTGGGCTCTTCCCCGTTTTCTGCTTTCTGGGCATCAAAAGGTGAGCAGTCTCCTCCACAGTGCTCTCATGCTGTGGTGTTTCCACCTCAGAGCCAGCCAAGGACTGTGCCAAAATATACTCAGCCTTGAAATTGTGTGACACATTTTCTGTCTCAACAGTGGAAAACTAATACAGCTACTCCGCATGGGTAATGGCGCCTCCAAGGGTGCCAGGCCTGCAGGACCAGCTGGCCACCAGGGCACATTGCTTACAGCGGGCTCCTTCCTTGCAGTGAAGTCAGCAATTCACAACTTGACCAAAGGCCACAGCATACCTCCCCACCAACTTGCAGAACCTGTGCTGTGCATCTCTGTGATGAATTTGGTGAATCAGAGAGCCTGTTTTCCAAGGGAAGGAGCGGGGGCTGGGGGTTTAGCTCAGCGGCTTAAATGCCTGCTTGACAAGTGTAAGAGATCCTGAGTTTAATCCCCGGCACCAAAAAAACAAAACCAAAAAAGCCAAGGGAAGGGGCATCTTCCAGGGAACAGTGTAAGGGACTCCTTGGCATCTGAAGCCACAGACACTACCTGGTCACTCTAAACTCCTAGGACCAGTGGGTTGGCAAGCAAACGGAAAAAAGTAGTTGTGAAATCAATGAGGTTAATTGACCTTGATCACCCTGAGATGCCAGGCTACTGCTACTTTCTGTGGGCAGAGTTCATCGGGACCTGGGGTAGTCCTCGGGGCACAGCTTCCTGTCCTTATGCCCACAAATACCCAACAAGGGCCTGAGCTATTTGTGGATGTGTCAGGGGCACTCCAGCTAGCAAGCAACCTGGATGAGTGGGAATGCTGGCGGGAGCTGGGGTGACAAAGACAGATGAGCCCTGAGGATGGATGGTCATCCACCAACCACGCATGGAGTCTCTTACGGGGACTGCCCAGGCCACCTCTTTGAAGGCGCCAGGTTCAGTGCGGAGAATAAGCAAAGCGGACTGGCCCAGGGGCGCTGTCAGCACTCACCCCTTGGCCTCCTCTCTCATCTTGGCTGCAGACAGGTGGACAGTTCCCTGTCGGGTTAAGGCCAGCATGTGTCTCTTCTCTCCCTTCTTCTTTGCAGTCACAGGGATTGAACTCAGATCTTGCACGTTCTAGGCAAACACTACCACTGAGTGACACCCTGAGGGCCCTTTGAGACAGTATCTTGATAAACTGCCCAGTTGACCTCAGACTTTCCTTCCTCAGCCTCCTGAGTAGCTGAGACTATGTATGTGCAGCACAGGGCCTACCTAGTACGTGTTATTTCCAGCCCAGGGTCAATACAATAGGACAGATGGGTCCAGAGCGGGTCTGTGCACTATGGTGTCCCAGCCATGCACCAGCTGACCTCACGACTGCCATCTCCAGTCTCCTGTGTATGCTGGCCACCTCCACCCCTGCTGGACAGCTGTAACAGCCGCCTGCCTGCGCCTACCTGCCAGAGGTGCCTACAGGAAAAGCCCTCTTGCTGGCGCTCGGGGTTCAGACAGGTGTGCTGAGCTAGGCGAGCTAGGCTGACCCTGGGTTCCAGGACCTATGACCATGGAATCCTGTGGTTCTGCCCTCCCTGCCATTCAACAGAACATTCAGGAGAACGCAGAGAGAAAGTAAATGATGGTCTGAAGCCTTTCCAGGCCTCTGGGGCACACTGCTCAGCCCAGGGTGGTGGGCACTTCCCAGGTGACCCCCACAGGGCCCAGTTCCTATCCCCTCAGGGAATCTTCAGTGCATTTCTAGGGGACAAAGCAAACTGACAGCAACCAGCAGACCTGGGGCCTGGACCCAGAATTCTTTCCCTGGGCGCAGCAGTGACACTAGAAGCAATGGTCAAATGCTTAGGAATCTTTTTTAAAATCATTTTTAATATTTCTTTTGCCTCATTTACCAGATAAATCATCTAAATAAATAGATGCTATAGTCTCTTACCAATATCAGTACAAAAATAAAACCGCACTCTGCACCCACGGAGTCCCCGCACACACTCACCCAGGAAGGCGCACACTCGCCCTCCACCCCCCAGTACATTCATGTAGTCTGAACAAAGCTCGGAGCTCATTCTGTGCAAAGGAAGCGTTCTTGTGCTGAGACCTGGCGGCCACATGCGGCCACTTATAAAGCAAAAGCGACACCATCTGATAGACACCCAGCGCCTTCCCCTGACCTAAGAGGTGGAAAGAAATTGGCAAAGGGATCACCATCCCAAGAGGATGACAGCCTTGCAGCCCGGAGCACCTTGTCCCCACACTGCAAGTGGCCAGACCAAGGAGAGAGGCACGTTCTCAACCCCGAAAAGAAGTACCAGCCAGCTTCTACATTCAAACAGCAAGGACAGGGGAAAGGGAGGCAGGTGGCTTTCAGAGCCCTCTCCTACCCCAAGAGTACTGGCCTTCTGGGGGGCAATGGGGTGGGAGCTCACTGTCCACCTGGGATACTCGGGCTGGGAGGTCACCTGTCCTGGCTGGAAAAAAGACCTACAGCCCACAGCTTGGCTCCCCAGGGAGCCAGCTACAGCAGTCCTGAGCCATGTGGCTATCTGAGCAGGGGATCTCAGGGCCACCTACCCCACCTTCCAACCTCGCTCTGCAGGATCCTGAGAGCCATAAAGGGCTGCGGAAGAGGACAGCGGGTTCTTTTGCTGTAGCCTGAGAACTGCTACCTCACCCACAAGACCAGACCCTGGTCCAGACTCGCAAGCTGAGGGCAGCTCCATGGGAGTGCATGGGATGCAGAAAGCAGTTTCAAGTCCGCTGGGGGTGGACAGCGTGGTTATGACCAGAAGCTGCTGCAGGTCCCAACACCCTCAGCTGGAAAGAAACCCCCACCCACCACTCTCTCTGTTGGGAGCCCCTGCCCTGCCCCAAAGAACCCCCAATTCTAGGTCTCCCCTCCCCAGGGTCCTGCAGCTGATCAGTGGCAATTCCTGCTGCCCCTTCCTCCCTGAGCCTCATCTCCACATTTTTCTAGAAGCAACCAGGGCTGGGGGTGAAGCAGGTCACCTTCAAGGGCCTGTTCCCCTGTGGAAGCACTGAATTAACCCTGGACAACTAGGAATAAAGGAGGATGGGATTGGAGGTTCTAACAGAGCATCCCAAAGAGAAATGGGGTGCAGGCTGTCTTTGGTTTGGGAACAGGGAAGTCACCTACCCTGGTCCCTACAGAGATCCACTGACCTCCCAAGGACACAGCAGTCAGGGACAGTGCTGAGCTCCCACACACTGGTTCTATAGTTGAGTCAGGCTAATAGTGGCAGATGGCAGGGGAGGAGCCACATTCCATGCTCCCCTGGGGCCCCCACCCGCTTTGCCTTTCCCCCTCACAAGGTTGGGATGGGGGAGAAGTCGGCCCACGGGACATCTCTGCAAACTAGAAAACGAGCCCCGTCCTGGCAGATGTGGGCCCTTGCCAGGGATGGGGCTTGTGCACAGCCTGACCTGCAACGGAACAAGGTCCGCCCCAGCTGTGACATTCAGGTTGGGTGGGAGAGGAACACAGAATGCAAGGGCACAGGGGTACAGGAGACGAGGACTGCCCTGAGAAAAGCGGCGGGACACTCCCTCCACTGCCCACGCCCTGCTGGCGGAGCTGGAGAGGAGAGCAGAAAAGAGTAGCTGGAAGGGCTGAAATCACCTGAGTCAGAGAGGACAAGAACCCCTGTGGAAGGACAGGTCTCCAGTGTCTCAGAGCCTGCGCAGACGCACTGGCACAGCTCAGCAGACATCTGCCCACCTGCAGCCTGGCCAGGTACAACCACAAAGCCACAGCTGCACGGCTGGAGTGCCAGATGCCCACGCCCCTCCCCCTGCAGATGGCTGTGAGCCAGGGAGCTGAGACAGGTCCTGTGGAGAGGCGTGCATAAAAGGAGGCTGCGGGGGCTGCCGTGGCGAGTTCTTTTGTGCTATGAATTGCCCCATGCTCATCTGGTCAGGGGTTCCCAGGGAGGTGTGCAAGGCCCACATGGGCTCAGTGTAGACACGCAGGTAGGTGTGAGTGCACACGAGGTGGCTAGTGTTTCCAGGTGATGGGCCGGGAAAGGTGGCCACCTCTCTGGAGGTTCCAGCCACCTCAAACCCTTCCCCCCTCCCACTGTCCACAAACCCAGCCCCCAGTGGTCAACATCAGCCTTCGGTCCCACAGCAAAGCTGGAGTAGAAAGTTCAAAATAAAGATCCAAGCCAAAAATATTCAAAAAGTAGGGGTGGGAGCAGCCTGTGTTGCTGCTTGAGGCAGAACTCTGGCTCCCCTAGACCCCTAGAATCAGCTGCTTTGAGACAATCGTCCCAGGCAGGTATCCCTGTCCCATCCATGAGGAGACAACGGGCCCGCACAGCAGCGCTGGCCTCCCAGCCCTGCCCAGATGGCCTGCTATAAATGTCCCTCGAAGAGCAAGGTGGGGTGACAGGAGGGTGGTGGGGTCTTCCCTCCTTCTGCTCAGAAGTTTTTAAAAAATAAAATAGGGACCTCACCCCAACCCATCCCCATCTCTGGAGCTGCCCAACCCAAGCCCCAAAGAAAACAGTTTAAGGACCACGGAGGCTCAGAGCTTTCCGCTGCGGTCTCGGAAGAAGCCCTCAGCTGCCTGGGCCTCACGGAAGGTGACGGTGATGGAGTTGGCGGTGATGTCTGTCACGGTCACCTCACTTGAGGGGAGCGTGGGTGTCCATGGAGGGGGACCATCAGCCAAGTCAGTGTCTGCTGCAGCCACAGGACAAAGACAGGGGTGGGGACAAGTTGACAACCGGTAGACAGGTAGGAGGGGTGGCAGCATGCAGAACCCTCCCACCCCAACCTGAGTCCTCTGCTAAGGTCCCCGGTCAGCTCAGGACCTGGCTCAAGGCGGACACCAGGAGGAGGGACCATGCAAACCTTCCCCAGCTGTGGGCAGCTCTGGGCCAGGGGTCAGGTCCAGGTTGGTTCTCACCATTCCCCAGCTGTGTGGCCTCCCAGGCCCCCTGAACATAGATCAGTGGGCCTGGGAACCCCCACGGCCCTTCATGGCTCTGAGGCCTCAGGGCTGGGCCACCTTACCCTCCTCCTCGGGGGGCTGCTCCGTGGACTCCCACTCGCCAGCTGCCTGCAGGACCTCTGCGGCCGGTGGCTCCTGCAGGGAGAGCTCCCGTCGATGGCTGTGACTCTCCAGGTGGGGCCCGCAGGGCGGGAACTTCTTGAGCGAGAGCCGCAGGTACTTGTGGGCCTTGTGCGGCTTGCAGAGCGGGAAGGGCAGAGCGGGCACCAAGGGGCCCTTGTCCGCCAACTCAGGTGTCCCCGCCTTGACCACCCCCTTGGGGCTCCCGCTGCCGGGTGGGCGCGTCAGGGAGAAGCGGAGCTTCCCCTTGGCCTTGGCCTTGCGGGAGCTGCGCAGGTCCGTGCTGTACAGCCGCTGCGGGGAAGCCAGGCCACTGCGGGTCAGCCCGCCTGCCTGCCCTGGCACCTTCACTCACCCGGGCCACGCCCCAGCCTACTCAGGCCAGGCCAGACCCGGCCTCCTCTGGGCCAGTCTTCTCCCAAGGGTCAGGTGGCAGCTCCAGGGCTCGTTCCTCAGATACACAGCAGAGGAGCACAGCAGTTTTCCAACTGAAAACTGACCCAGGGCTGGGGTGTGGCTCAGTGGTAGAGCCCTAGCCTCACGAGCAAGTACCAGGGTTCCAGCCCCGAGACCACAGTGAAGGAGGAAAACAACAAAAAAGGAAAGAAAAAGGTCTGAGCCTTTAAAGTAGGAGTCCCTCACCCCAGAGGAAAGGACTGCCTCCCAAGGGACCTCCAAACAGCAGCTGCCCATGGAGGGCAAAGCTGGCACTAAAGTTCCCCGCTGCACAGCACCTCTGCAGGAATGGCCCTGTCCAGCCCAGCCTGGCTGCTGCCCACCGAGCTTGCCCTCAGGGGCACATGCAGGTGCAGGACTCTGCACGCATCTCACCGACTCTGGGGAGAACCAGCAGCACTCTGAGGAAAATCCACCGTGCCACGGCCTGGGGAGATCCAGATCACTGTGACTACTGCCACCGCCGCCTGTCACCAGAGCCGACTGTGCGATGGCAGGCTCTGAGATGGCCCCGTGAGGCTGCACACCCGAAGCTGAGGCGGCCCTACTGGTCCTGCAGCCAGGGACTCCTACTCCCCACCAGGCGTACTCCGTCCTTCCCACCTCATCAGCCCCACAGTCTAACCCGGGGAGAGAGACTCCGGCCTCTCTGATCCTCGGCTACTTCATCAGCTATGTGGAAAGAGGGTGCACACGGCCCCCGGGCAGCCTCTTCCCACAGGGGACACTCAGGATGTAGCCTCTCAGGCCAGGTACTAAGGACACTGCTTTCTCACATCCTCTCTGGTGAGCCACATGGGGAAGTAAATGGCCACACTCCAAAGGCACTCGTGTCACCCCATGGAGAGGTCCAGATGTCAGGACCTTGCCTGGAACAACCAACACTGACCTGGTGGGCATGTGATGGGCCACTTGGGCAGCCAAGCTTCAGCCCAAGCTTCAGATGACAGCAGCCCCTCAACATCTTACCTGCAACTGGAACTAGACCACTAAAGAATCAGTGAAAGTCCTTCTCAGGTCCTGACCCACTGAAACCATGTCATACAATAAAACATTCACAGCTTTAAATTGCTGAGTCGGGGGCAACACAGCAGCAGGTAACTAATACCACCTACCGAGCAGGTTTGGGGTGTGCATGAAATGTGTCCAGCAGGCAGATGCCTCGAACATGTTACATCCTCCCTAGGACCCAGTTCACGCCACCCAGTGGATCCCACCCACCTGGGGGGAAGCTAGGAAAGGTGGAGGTGACCTAGGACTGGCAGTGGCCACCCTGCATCTGGACCAACAACCCAGTGGGGTCTTACTAAATTAAGGTGCCTCTTAGGTGAGAACATTCCAGACACAAGCCCAGAATCATGTTACTCACATCACCACTGCAAACTCCAAAGACGTACGACACAGGTCCCCAGAAGTCACAGACTTTTCCACCTCACCAAGGATTGGGAAAGAAGGCCTGGAGGCTTTTCCTGACTCAAAAATTGCTACACTTCTAGGGCTGTGCTACCACAAAGCTGTCCCAGGAGACCAAGTGCCTCTGAACCTGGCTCCTAAAATTCCAGTCAACCATGCACCCTCAGTTCTGAATTTTGTATCTCTAAGATTCTCAAACATTACAATTTTGTGTTTGGGGATTCCGTATATCAAAAAGGCAAGATTATACACAAGACTCTACAGAAATCCCAGGACTGTGCTGGCCGTGCGCCTGCCCTCCCTCCCAGTAGGTCACCCTCCCCAGGCTATGTGCCCCATTCTAACCTTCCCAATCCCATCCATGAAGTACCCCCCCAGCACCACCCCCAGGACCCCCCCCCCCAGCATTGTGGCAGTGCTAGAAGAGGGCAGGTAGAGACAGCAGGTAGAGTCAAGCAGCCAGGGTACAAGCACACGGCCCAGGGCAGTGCAGGGAGAGGCAGGAGCCCTAAGGCAGCAGTTACCTGCAGCAGAAGCCGCTTGGGTTTCGGGCCTCGCTTCCTATACCCCGATGCTCGGTCTTTCTCCTCCCTGGGTGCAAAGCAGGTGGCAGAAGAAAAGGAAACACTGGTGACATCTAAGGGGACCAAGGTGTCCACTTCACCCTCCTCTGCTGCCAGAATGGGGACACCCCCACCAGCCATCCCTTATCCTTGCCTTTGGGGTGGAACAATGGGGCAGGTGTTCAACTCCAGGACTTGGACTTCCCATCTGGCAAATGGGACTCACAGACCAGAAATGTGTGGGTCCCCACTGAACTCTAGGGCCACACAAGGCCTCTGCTCAACTTGCTGCTGGGGACCCCCAAACATGAAGCTCTACTTTGTACTCAGAAGAGCTGTACAGAGAAGCATGTTAACCCAGTGTGCCTTGAATGTCCCCAGAGAGCTGATGAAGATGGGGAACCTCAGCTAGCTCCCCTGACTGAGGACTCCAGGAACCTGGAGAGAGGAACACTCCTGTCCTCTCTGGACCAGGCAGGTGGGGGAGGAAGGAGACACCACACCAAGCACCCTCAGATGCTCAATCTCAGCTGGGTGTCTCTGTCACATGAGCAAACAAACTCACATGGCTGGCACACTGCAAGGGAGGATGCTTCCAGCGCCCGAGACACACAACACATCACAACTCCACACTATGGAGCTGCGTGGCACAGGAGCTCCGCCTCCTGCTTCAGCTCACACTGCAGAAGCCAAAGGAAAGTACGAGGGGCCCGGAGGTCACTCTGCCCCTTCCTGATTGGGTGACCTCGGCCCTCATAAAGCAGTCAATCCCACAGCCTCTATTTTAAATGTCTGACCTCTAGGCAAGAGCTGCCACGCCCTGCGGGGAGTCAAGTCCTGGGTGGTAGGAAGGGCACCTCGTGGAGGATTCTAGCCCAGCCCTGCCACCTTTCTCACCACATGCAAGAGTCCACACGATTCTCTTGAGTGCCTCAACGCTGCTAAGGACCAAGGCCTCCTCACAACCCCTGGGAAGCAGGAGGAGCTATGGAGCAGTGATATCCCCCATTCTTCTTTCTTTTTTTTTTTTTTTTTTTGATTCTGGGGATCAAACTCATGACCTTGTGCTTTCCAGGCAGGCGCTTATGCTGCTGACCTACATCCCCAACACAACACCCTGATTCTTCTTTTTTTCTTTTCTTTTTTTTTTTGTCTTTTCTTTTTTATCGGTACTGGGGATCGAACTCACGACTGCCTGCTTGCAAGCCAGGTGCTTATGCCGCGGAGCTAAATCCCCAGCCCCAACACCCTGATTCTTAATGTGTTCCCAGTTTAAACCACTGTGCTACAAGTGTGATTGTCCCTGTGAGATGCTGGTACCACTGGCAGAATGAATGAGTCTGATCACTCCTTACCAGTCTTCTTACAATAAATTAATAGAGCCACCCAATGGAACAGCTGGTCATGCACCTATTCAAGCAGCTGGGCCGGGAAACATGAATCATGGCCCATCATGAATGCGTTAAGGGAAAGAACAAAGAAAAGCTGCCCGGGGTCAGCGGGGGTGGGACCTTCCGGAGACGACCAGTGAGAGCACCAGTGAGAGCCCAAGTCCAGCTGCCTCCCACTGCTGTGAGGCTCAACAACCCTGGGCCCTTGTGTCCTCGTCCATCAAACGAGACCCTCAGAAAGGACCAAACAGAAACTATTCCATGACACGGCCCACACTGCATGGGGTACTGGCCAGGCAGAGGCAGGATTTGGGCTGCCAACCAGGGGCGGTGAGGATGGGCAGAAGGGGCGGTGTGCTGGCAGGATGGGATTGACTCTGGCCTGGCCACCCGATGGCAGTTTAAGGGGACAGCCCAGAGCTCAGAGTCTAGCCCAAGGCCTAACCCCAGCCCTGGCGCCTGGTGACTGCATCACTTTCCTCCTCCAGTGGGACAGTCTCTGGCCCCACTGCCACTCGCACACACAGGGTACTCTGCAAACCACCTTCACTAGCCCTCGGGGGAACTGAACCCTGCCTGGGGCCTGGGGGTACAGCAGAGATGGGGCTAGGCAGGGAGAAGAGGCCAATGGGAGTAGGTAAGGGACCTGGATCTTCAGTGCCCACTCGTTGCTCAGCTCCAACCCAGACTGCTTATGACATACCCCTGTGGTCCCCACAGGCCCTGCCCTGGGCAAGCCAGTGGCCAGTCTTCTACAACTTGGAACTCAGACACCTTACTTTTCCTCGTAGGCCAGGACAAGGCGGGGGTCCAGGATGTGCTCTTCTGGCTCCCATGTGCTGTACCTAGGGAGAGGAGAGAGGTGAGCGCTGCTGTCCTCCACCTGAGCTGCAAGGTGGGACTCATCTACCAGAGAGCTGACCTGACCTGGGTCTTCTGGGGACCGGAGACCTCCCCTTATTCATGCTACACTCTAATCCCATCCTACTCCCACGTAGTCTCCATGTTCACCTGGGGCCCTCAGAGCGCCGGAGAGAGCAAGTCTATGAGCAACACGCTTCCTATGACACAGCAGGGACACTGGAACCACACTGCCCAGGTTCAAATCCCAGCTCTGCCCCTAGCTGACTGGGTAACCTTAAACCATTTACTCAACAGCTCTCTGCTCAGTGTCCCCATCTGTAGAGACTCTGGTGCTGGGTAAATTTCTGCCACTATTTCCTGCAGTCTGCCAGGCAGGCCCCTCCCCGCTAATCCTGCAGCTCCTTTAGGACTTCCCTTCGGACCTGGTCTTTCCCACCTGGGTGCATCTGAGCTCCAGAGCCTAGACCTCTGTTGGTCCAGGGATACAGTAATTCCACAGCAAGTGACACCCAGACCACACAGCACCCCAGGGAGGTGGGGCTGGCCTGGCAGCAGGTGCAGAGCTGTGCCACTGACACCTTTTACCAGCAACTTCCTCCTTAGAGCAGCAGCTCAGAAGTGTTATCTTTTTTGTGACTAAATAGCAATAATAAATGGAAAATTAGAAATTACCAAAAAAAAAAAAAAAAAAAAAAAGCAGCTCAGTTTTTCTGTTTTAAACGATTTCATTACCCAAGCGCGCTTACAAGTTCCATGAACGGAAAACCAGTATCACTCACCACAAACAGATGCAAGTGTTAACACTTTTTAAATTTAAAACATATGCACATACATATGAAGGTATAAATTATGCACGCAACATACAAATGTACACAGGCACACACAGCGCATATGGATATAAAGCACAACAAAGCCATGCCCTACAATCCTGGCTGGAGTCTGCTGGGTGAGAGGCCAGGTGACTGGTGTTACAGAGGGGTCAGAAGGCAGAAAGAGGCCAGGCTGGGGCTGCCCCCAGTCAGTTGAGCAAAGACTGCTCCAGTTAGCCTCCTGAGACACCATTGTGATATTTACACCAGATCAGGGCCCAGCAGCAAGCTGCCTAAGCACAGAATGCTCCCACCACCTTTTTTTGTCTGGGGACTGAACCCAGGGCCTTCGTCACACTTGGCTACATCCCAATCCCCCTACACATCCCCACCAGCCCTGAGACACGGTCTCAATAAATTGCTAAATCCTCTAGGCTGGGCTCCAGCTTGCCATCCTCCTGCCTCAGCCTCCTAGAGTGCTGGAATTACAGGCATGCGAACCACACCAGGCGGGCTTTCTTCCCCTTCCACACTAACATTCAGCTCCCGTCTGATACCAGACTACCCTGAACATACTGCCCTGGCACCCCTCCCATAGGGTATGCCAAGGGCACCTGCCCTCTGCCTGCCCTGGGCTCTCTGGCTAGGGGCCCTCTCTCTGCAGCAAGCTCTAGGCCACGCTTTAACAGCCAGGTCCCAGCAGCTTTACCTGACATCCTTTCAAATTGGCATCCTCCCAGCAGGACTGAATCCTAGCTATCTATGAATCCATGGTCCCTGGCCCAGGGACCTCTCCCCAGTGCGCGTGCAGGCCCCACCCAGGTGCTCAGCAGTGGGGCAACCTGACCCTCAGTTCCGCTTACCGCGAAGCCAAAAATGCCCAACCATCACATCTACCACTGGTGGCCCCAACTCAGCCCTCTTCCCCCAGATAAAAGCTGGCTGGCCTCAGTCTGTCTCTGCAGGGAATCAGCAGTGCCTCTAGCTGTTGAGCCAACTTGGCTGTGTGGTCCTCCCTGCCCTACCTGCCTTCCCCTGTCCCCCACTACCGGCACTTGCCTTGCTGATGGAGCTGCTGTGATTCCAGGTAAGTCCCTTCCTGTCCCTGGACCTTCACTTCTTCATTTTAATAACCACCAGATCCCGGTAACAGCAGGCCGTTCTGCCTACCTCTAGGAATCCCTCCTCCTTTATAATGCTCTCCTCAGGTAGGCTCTTAAACTTTGCCCATTTCACAGACAAAAAAACTTAAGCACAGTGTGAAACAGCTTGCCCAAGGTCACTGAGCTGGTTAAGCAGCCGGTCTGCAGTCCGAATTCAGTTCTACTCTCGGCCACTCTCTACTTTCTGGGCCCTCAGAGCCAGCTCCTCGCTGGCTGTGACATCCGTGGGACAAGGGCACGGCTTATGTGACTCGATTCTCAGTGTCTGGCAAACAGTGCATACACAGAAGAGGTGGGATTGTTTCTGGCCTGGGTCGGCAACAGAAGCCTCACCAAGTCCTGCTGGGTGCGGCAGGCTTGGCACAAAGGTCCAGACTTCCCCAACCCTCCAGGCCCCAGGATACAATGGTGACAGAGCCGCGCTCCGCAATGCTGGCGTCTGGACTGCAGTGAGATAAACACACTTGGCCAACAGCGGGGCGCAGTTGTTCCCGGGGTGAGCCAGAGACCCTCTGGTACACTGGGGACAGCAGGGTCGGTAGCAAGACAAGGACGCAGATGCGCGGGAGCGAGCGCCCCATGCTGGTAGAAGGGCGAAAAGCCTCAGTCACCCCACCCCCGGAACAGGCGGTCACGTGCACGCGCACGTAAGGGGGCGGGGTGAGTACACGCCCGTGACACCCGGCCAGCCAATGGAGGGCGAGACAGACTGTGCGCACCGGCTCTGAGATAAACACGGCCACGTGACCGCCCGCCCCGCCCCCAGCACGATAAACAAGCCCGGGCCACCGCACCCGCTGGGCTGCGCAACTCCAGGTCCAGGAGCTGGGGGCTGGGGACGCGGAAGGTGGTGGGGACTGGAATTGGAGTGTGGGGCACGCCAGCCAGGCAGGCAAAAGCCTAAGCCAGCCTTTCTCTGGGGGGATAGGTAAACTGCCAACTGTGACGCAGGCGTCCCTGGGCAAGTGGATCCAGAGACAATCCAGGCACCCCATCCCATATAAACTGCTCCAAATGATTAGTACAGTGCTGGGCCTGGGCTCAGACTAGCGGGGTTCAGCTTTGGGCAGGGCTAATGCGGGACTCCCATTAATCCTTCCGTTTAGGGTGGGGCTGAAAAGTAGATGTGTTAAGTCGCATAACACTTTGATCAAGGTCGTACCTGATGAAAGCAAGTAAGTGTCAATAAAATCTAATTTCAGAAACCTAGAGTGAGCAAAAGCCTCCAGGGGCTGGAACCCAGGGGTCTGTCTGCACTGCCCACGCCCAGTCTTGGAGAAGGAAAACATTTCTCCCCTGTCACTGGCAGGCATCAGGCAGCCTTCACCAGCACCTGGTGGGGCTTCATTTTATAGAAGAGGAAATGGAGGCACAAAGAGGTTAAGGTTTTGCCTTCGGTTACAGAGCTGAGACAGCTACATAATTAAAGGCAAAGTTGTCCCCAAAGCCTGAGCCCATCCTAGTGACCTAGCCAAAAGGTCAACAGGCAAGAGACTCCTGGTCACCTTTGGTGCAGCTGGCTGTGCATTACGAAGCACAGCCCCGAAGTCAGGCAGCCTGCCTGTCAGCTCTTCCCAGCAGTATGACCCTGGGCAAGGACTCTGCCTTGGGCTTCTGTCTCCCAATCTGTGAAATGGGTCACTATGCAGCAATTATGGGCCCATGCCTGCTTCAAAATGGGGACTTATTGACTGACATTGTGGGTACTGCTTTTTGCAAGAGTATCATTAAGTTCCATGGGGCCAATGCTTCCCCGGTGAGAAAGAAAGTCATCCCCAATATGGGAGGAGCAAGTCCCTGGGAAGGCTGAAATGGCTGTTGGGTAATGGGGTGAAGAAAACACCTGTTCTTGACAGTTCACATCCTCTGCCCCACCTGTGGTGCCTTCCTTCCAGCAGGAGTCCCTGAGCCACCCCGCTGAGGGCAAGGACAGTCACCTGACTGTTGTTGGGGAAAGAAAACAGAAAGGCTCCACAGGGGCCTAGCCGAGAGTGATGTGCATTTAAATCACTGACCATTAGTAACTAGTAACAGAAGCCTCCCAGCCCATGGGTGAGGAAGGGGTGCCTGAAAGGAGAATCCCCCATGCAAGCCAGGATCTGCCTACCCAAGGGCCCCAGCCCGAGGAAATAGCCTGTCCACCCCCCACTACCCCTGCTCAGCCTCCCCTCCCCCAAGGAGGGCGACTGCAGTGGGGAGGGGGCCACAGGGCCTGAGGCTCTCCTGCCTCACACAGAGTAGCCAGAAACGCGTGGCCTTGCAGGTTTGCTTATGCACAGACCTACATCTACAGCTCTTTTACAGTTCTCATTTGGTGTCAGGGTCTCACTAAATTCTCTGGGTAGGCTTAAATCTGCTACCCTTCTGCCTCTGCCTCCCAGACTGTTCAGATTACAGTCACCTGCCACCACATCCTGCTACAATATTTTGTTTTGTTTTGTTCTTTTCTGGAAAGAAGGTTCTTGATATTGTAGCACAGGCTAGCCAGGAACTCATGGCAATCCTCCTGCCTCAGCCTCCTGCTGGCTGGAATTATAGGCTTGGGCCACTACACCCAGCCTGCAGTTACATTTTTTGAATGACTTCCTACTTGTGGACCTCAGTTTTCCCATCTGAAAAGTGAGATGACTGATCTAAATAAAGGTTTTAGTCTAATGATATTTTGAGCTCCTGTTCAGAATGAAATCCCCTTGGTTCCTTTCCTGGGTGGAACAAATGGAAGCAACACAACTCTTCGCGGTGCCTAACTGTGCTCCCTTTGAATAGTTCACTCCAGCACAGGGTCTGCAATGCATATCCATCCTCTAATCCTTGGAACAACCCAGGAAGGGAGGCCTTACAATTGCAATCTAAAGGCAGGAAGCAGAGACCAGCCAGGCTGGGGGGCTATTCAAAGGCTCATCACAGCTGCTAATGGCCAGCAAGGCCTGGAATCCAAGACCAAATGGCAGTAGAAGGCAGGAAGAAAGTGTCAAAAAAAAAAAAAAAAAAAAGGAAAAGAAAAGAAAGTGTCCCCAGGTCATCCTAGTAAGCGGGGCTTCCAGATTCCAGAACCCCACAGGGGGCACAAGAAGCAATTAGGGGGAGGGTGGATGAGGTGTGCTCAGCAGTTAGGAAACAAGCAGAGGGGCTGGGAATTTAGATTTGCGGCACAGGCACCTGCCTAGCAAGCGCAAGGTTGTGAGCTTGATCTCTGGTACTAAAACAGAAAGAAAAAAAGAAACAAGCAGGGGATGGGGTGTAGCTAGATTCAGTGCTTGCCTAGTATGCGGGAGGCCTAGGGTTCCAGTCTGAGCACCAATCCCCTACCCCACCCCCACCCTGGCCAAAAGAAACAAGCAGGCTGGGGCCCCTGCTCTCAGGGTGGTCTCCCCCTTCCGGGCTGACGCTCCACCCCAGGATAAAGTGGGACAAGGAACCTTTTACCAATAGGGGCCTCTCTGCTCAGAGAAGAAATGCTTTCAAAAGATGCAGTCTCCAGAGGGAGAGAAATAGGAGGCAGTGCTGAATGCCAACCAGGTGGGTTGCAGTGGCCACTGTGATGCCCACCAGGCACACCTGGGCTCTGCCTGTCCCCCCTCACCAGGCCAGAAGTGCACCTGTGACCAGTGAGGAGGCGTCCTCCTCCGCTCTCCAGGTGAGGGGAGGGACAAGCACTACCTGTCTGCTGCCACCAACTAGGATGGTGTGGGACACCCAGAGTATGTGCTGAGGTGAGCAGTAGATCTAGGCCACTGAACCCATTTAGCAGAGAGGGAACCTAAGGTACTATGGCCAATCTGCTCCTGTGCTTATCCCCTTTCCCAAGACCCAGGTCCACTCTATGGCCCAGCAGAGGAGAAAGCATATCACATCCCCTGGGGTGAAAGAACTTCTGGAAGTCAGTCTTTCTGAGAGCCAGGGGAGGGCACCCAGAGACCAATTAGGAGGCTGTGACTAGCTCTTCCCATCTCTAACAACTCCGTGCTGGGAGGTGATTGGCTGATGGGAGGCCTCCTGACTGGCCTTAGGCAGGACAGCCAGGCAGCTGGCTAGGGTCTTAGACCCAGCTTTTGGTCTCCAGCCCCTTGATGGGAGGTTGGTGGAAAACTGGAGAGAACTGAAAATGGGAAGGTCTAGTTCAAGTGCCAACACTGCTTCCACTTGGTCTGTGACCTAAGGCAAGCTCCCCACCCTCTCTGAGCAGGTTTCCTCATCTTGTGAACTCAGGATCATGGCCCATCTCACCAGGCCTAGGAAGCTTCTTTGTCAAATGCCATCCAGAGGTCTCTAGCTCTGCCCCTCCTGTGCAGAACCTGGAACTCCTGAGCCTAACAAGCATCTCTGCAGTCCGGTGCTGAGTCCTCACTGCCAGCTTCCTGGGGAAACCAGAGAGCAGGGAGCAGACAGGAGGCCACAGAGCTCAACACTGAGGGCCAGGGGAGGGGAGATGCTGGACACCTGCCTTGACCCACTGTGTGCCAGCCCCTCCTCTAACAGAAGAGAAACAGGCCCAAGAAGCTGACTTAAGATGACTTAAGAGCTGTCTGTCTAGTCACAAGTACAGATGGAGCTGAAAGCTAGGCACGGACAGGGGCAAAAAACAGGTGAAGGGATGGACAGACAGACAGATGGGTGGACAGACACAAAAGAGCTTACTTGGGGGGCCATCCTTTCCACTTCACCAGGTACTCAACCTTGCCCTGGAAGAGAAACAAACATATAAGGTGAGACCTGCACTCCCCCCACAGCCACTCCCAGAACAAAAAGGCTGACAGGACCTCAGCCCCAAGTCCCCCTGCAAATGGGAGTCCCTGACTTGAAAACAAAGGCAGGGACGCCCCACACCCCTGCCAGATCCCCAAAGATCCAGAAAGCCCGAACACTGGCTAACACTGGCGGCTGCCTGACCACCCAGGTTCCCCCTTTCCACCACAGCACAAGAGTGCGTCGGATGGCAAAAATTCCTGGGGCCCATGCTCATGAGCTCCCATCACACATGGAGAAACTGAGGCCACATGGGAACATGTGTGCAAGATAAGAGACTCACAGTGATTAGAGTCAGTGCCAGCACCGTGCCTCCTCCTTCTCCTTTCTAAACCAGAAGATTCCAAATCACAGCTCATTCCTCCCCAAGGTGTTCCCCGAGCAGCTCTAGCCCTATCAGCCAGCTGCCTCTAGCCCAGAAGCAACTGCTGTTAGGACTTGTGCTGCAAAAGATCCTGGCAGAACCCTAGAGAAGACTGACAGAATCTCCACTTTCAGGAGAGCCAATCAACCTCCAACTGTTAGGAAATAAAGCCATCATCTCCTGCTTCCCAAGAGATGGAGGTTTTTGTTTTTGTTTTGGCACCAGGAATCAAACTCAAAAGACTACGTGCTTAACTGGCAGGTGCTGTGCTGCCAGGCTATATCCCCAGCCCCAGGGATAGGGGAGCCTAAGTGTGCCCCAGCACTTTTAGTGGGTGAAGCTTCTCCAAAAGTTTAGGCCCAAGACAAAGCACCTTCTCAGAGAGCCCTCCCCCCGCCCCCGCCATCCTCCCACGCTACTCCTGCCTGGCTCCTGACAGTTCTTACGGCAAAGCGCACAGCCCATCCAAAGGCATCTGTGTTTACTTCCTGCACCTTCCTGCCTGAATGCCAGCTCCAGGAGGGAAGGCAGCCCTGGCCTTACAGTGCTGCCTGGGCGCAGCAGATGGGGTTTCTCCTAACCCCAGTAAGGTTTGGAATGCCCAGGCAAAGGCTGAAACCCACACTCCCACCACCTTCCCCGCCCGCCTTAAAAGGAACCATCGATGTACCTGTTTCAGGCTACACTTCGTGGGAAACATTAAGCTATAGAGAATTAATCTTCTTCTAAGCTGAGAAACCTAGGAAGGGAGCAGCTGAGGTAGCTTCGACCAGAAAAGACCGGAACCCCAAGTGGAGTAAAGGGAAGGAAAAAGGCTAACCACTGGCCCAAGAGGCTAGGGCTGGGTTCTCTCCGTAGAAAGGTGGGGTCTAGATCAGCCAACCTGAGCACACGCTCCGCCTCCGCCTCTAGCCTGCTGTGGACCCTTGAGGGGATCACCGCCTGCCTGGGCCTCAGTGTTTGCCTCTGACAAATGGGAGGAGGTAAGCTCCGAGAGCCCCCAAGCCGTTACTGGAAAGAGAGGCGGTAAAAGGATCGTGGAGGAGGAACTTTTCCTGGAGGCCCCAGTTCGCAAGCCGCAGCCTAGGATGCGACTGCTGGGGTACCGCAAGTGCAGACGACCCAGCCGGGACGTCCACCTTTTAAATTGTAGGGTGTGTGTTTTGAAGGCAGAAGCAAAGGGGGAGGAGCACCGAGGGTGCCCCAACACGGCTTCAGAGCAGCAGGCGGGGCTGGGAGTTGGGGGCGGGGTGGGGTGAGGGGTGGAGAAGAGGGGTGTGCGTGGGGGGGTTGGGATTGAAAAGGTCAAAGTCCAACGTGAAAATTTCAGAAACTGTGGGACACTTTTCCAAAGCTCCTCCAACTTCCAAGGGCTTAGCACTAAGTGCGGATTTGCCCGCGTTCGAGACCCACCCCCGACACTAAAGCACGAGGCACGTTGTTTCCTGAACTCCCGACTCAGTCTCCCCATATTTAGCATGAAAAAGGGATAAGGCAGGATGCCACTCAGGACCCCCCTCCCCAGGCCCATCCTTATCTTGAGCACAGGGGGCGCCCAGCGGGCCCCAGCATCTAGAGACCACAACTTTGATTCTACTCGCCCTACACTGTGGCAACGAAACTGAGGCACGGGCTGGGGAGAACGGCCAGCGTCCCGGGCCTGCCTGTGCCCCCGTCTCACTTTCCCCAGTCCCCAGCCAGGAGGGGGCGGTGCTGGGGACCGCAGGCGACCCCTCCGAGGTCCCGGGAGCAGCCCCGGGCAGCCTCACCTTCCGCACGCGCTTCTTCCGGATGCTCTCCACCGCGAACACCTGCTCTCCAATGGCTGACAGCTCCATGCGGGGCGGCGGGCGAGCGGGCCCAGAGCCGGGCCGGGCCGGGCCGGGGGCGGAGCTGCGGGGCCGCGGCTGCTGCGCGCGATGCTCGGGCCGGCGGGGTCCCCGTCACCCTCGGCCGGGCGCGCACGCGCACGCGCACGCGCGCACACCCCCTCGCGCTCCCTCACGCCGCCGACGTTCCATTTTTGAACCTGCGCAACGTTTTCCTCGGCGCCAGAGAGGGAGCGGCGGGCGGGCGGGCGCGCGCGGGGCGGGGGCGGGGAGGGGCGGGGCGGGGGCGGGGCGAAGGGCGCGCGAGCCCGCCGGCAGCCAGGCGAGGCTCGCGCCCTGAGGGTCAGCCCCGCCCCCGCCGCCGGAGCCCCGCCCCCGCCGGCCACGCGCTGCTCCCCCGCCTGGCGCGCCGCGGCGGGACTTATTTGGTGCGGCGCGGTCCGTGCGCCGCGGGCGTGCGCGGCCCTTCTCGCTGCTGGGCGCCTGGCGGGACGCGCTCTTTAACACCGAGGTGCGAGTCCCCGACCCTCCCGAAGACTCCCGGAGACGTGAGCGGCGTGGCTCCCCTCGGGCAGTTAGGAGTCGGGCGCAGAGCGGGGGACACTGTCCCACCTTCCGCTGTGCCCGAGGCCAGCGGGGCACCGACCCACGCTGCTGGAGCGCGGGGACGGAGGAGTCCCTGGAGTCGCGGTACCCTGCTCCCTCCGGAGCGGAGCGTCCGGGCCGGTTCCTTCCGCGGCCTCGCAGCCCGCAGAGTCCGCAGACCGACGGCGGCTCGCCACAGCGGAGAAGAGGTGCACGGGGCCTTTTTCCTGGCACGCCTTCTGCCCAGCTAATGAATGGATCTCGAGTTCCAAGGCGAACTCATTATCTCCACCCATCTCGTCCCGACAGCGCTTCCATTCATCCCCTCCAAGAACCCGGAGTCTGCCCGGTGTATTGGCCCACGCCTGCAGTCCCAGCCCTTGGGAGGCTGAGGCGAGAAGATCGCCGCGAGTTCCAGGCTACACAGTTCAGGAACAGCCTGACCTACATAGCGAGACCCTGCCTGACCCCTCCCGCCCCGTTGTAGATTCCTGCGTTGACCCCGAGGCGGGCGTCGCGGTCATCCCCACACTATCGCCGTGATCCGCGGCCACATCCTTCTCACGGAGTGCTGGTCCCCACCACCGATCCTGCTGCCCTTGCCGCGTCCGAGTGCGCTATGTGAAGTGCGCGTGTGACTGGGTCACTTGTGTTCAGAAAAATCCCGTAGCTCCCCATTGCCCCTAGGGTGAAATCTGGCGCGCAGGAAAAAAGAATGTTAGATTTACACCTGATATTTTTAGCAAGAGGAGCCAAAAGACAGTATCAAATGCCCGGAGAGAAAATAACCATCATCCTAGAATTATGTATACAGTAAAAACATCTTTCACGAATCGTGTACCCAGGGAAAATATCTTTGTAGAACGAGAATGAAATAATGATATTCACAAACACAAACACTAAGACTTTGTCTCTCCCTAAGGGGAATTCCAACGGAGGAATTTCGGGCTGGAGGAAGATAATCAGACTGAGGTCTGTTGCAATAAGGAAGAAAGAACAATGAGGAACATTGATGATGTAAAATAGTAACTGTCTTTCGGGTAAAAATAGAATTAACATACACAATAGTCATGGCTGGGTGGAGATACAGCGTCCTAAAACTTGACATCCTTCAGGAAAAAAGTGAAGAAGGATAAATGAAAATCGCTAAGTTAAACAGTCAAACAAAGGGAATACAGTCGGTGATGTTGATCTAAATTACCGGACTAAGAAAATCAGCCTCAGCAATCCTGAGGCAGGTAGGAATGGAGAAAAATAAATAAATCCAGCTGGTGGGACAGATAGGTGATAGGTAGACACTCAAAGATTCTGTAATTGAGTAAATACAAGTGAACTAAATGTTGTGGTTAATATACAAGTTTAGCAGGCTGCATGAACTCCAGCTGGATGGCATTGGTATCGGTGACATTTCCCCAGCACCCAGATACCTATGAAATGGTTGAAAGTTAGTGCCGGGAGGTAATGGCATCAAAATGCTAACGAAAATAAAGTGGGTGCAGTTATTTTAATATGGGGGAGACCTCACCAGAAACAAAGAGGGTTACTTCCTAAAGAAAAGGGTACAGTTCACCAGGAGGGTAGGACAATTTCCAATTTGTATCCAAACACTACAGTCTTACAGGGAACATGAAGAATAGAACTTTTAGAAATAGACAGACCCACAATACAAGTGGCGGCTCAAAATTACAAGATTTTAAAACACATCCCTCTGTAATCAGTAGGACAAGCAGACCAAATGTTCCTGAAGTTATATTTGAACAATGTCATTAATAAATTCGACTGAGGGACTTTTCTATAACAAGGGGTCTACGGTGGCAACACACTTTCCTTTTTTAAAACGTATGGAACATTTACCAAAACAGTTTGCAAAAGAAATTTCAAGAGCCTGAAACACAAACTATATTTTGGAACAGACATTCAAAAACCCCATAAACTTGGAAATTAAGAAGTATCTTTCTAAGTAATTGATGGAACATAAAAAGTCATAATTGAAATCGTAAAATATTTTAACGGAATGAGAATAGAAATACATATTAAAATCATGGGCTATTATTAAAGCAGTACAGTACTTAGAATATTCAGCACTTACTTTAGAAAAGAGAAAAATATGAAAACAACAGCCAAGCACCTATTCCAAAAAGCTAGAAAATGAACTAGCAAAGTAAACCAAAGAAATCACATGGAAGGGAAGAAGAGGGTAACAACAGAAAATAATGAAATAGAATCAGAAAACAGTTTCTTCTAGGACAAGACTAATAGCGTTGCTAGCCCTTTGGTGAAACTGACCAAGAGAACAGAGAAAAGGTACAATTAATGCTCTGACCCTGATGGAGGTACCCAAGTGTGTAGTAACCTGCCCCTGCCCTGAGCAGACACCAGGAGGCAACGCCCGTGCCCCGCACTGACTGATTTATGTGTCATCGGAAGGACTGGTGCATCTGGGACAGTTTGCTCAGGGGACTGGCAGCTCGCTGTGTTCTGGTATGAACGGTCAGGTATTTCCCTGACCTGAAGTCTTTTGTGTAAGCTAAACCTCATAACTCCCTGTATCATTAAAGGAAGGGATTGGTTGTCAGTGAGGGTCCCCACAAAAACCCAGACCCAGCAGGCTTCACCTGCAGGCTAAAGAAATCATTTCAGTCTTAACCCCAACATCCTCACACAATAGGAAAAGAAATTATTCCTAAATCCTTGTATGACAAGTACCATAAAAGGAAAATACAGACCAGTGTCACTTGTAAATAAAGACACAAAAAAATCCAAAATGAAGCATTAGCCAGTCAAACCTGGCAGTATATGAAAATGGTAATACACTGTGATAAAATTGGGCAGGGTTGACATTTGAAAATCAGTCCATTTAAACAGGAGCAGCGGCTCAAGCCTATATTCTCAGTGACTTGGGAGGCTGAGGCAGGAAGACTGCAAGTTCAAGGTCAGCGTGGGCAACTTATAAAAGCTCTACCTCGAGACAGAAAAGAAGGGGGAGGAAGGTAGTTGGGGATGCAGCTCACTGGTAAAGCACCCTTGAGTTTCATCCCCAACATTAGGAGATAAGGGAGCAAGAAAGAGAGGGAATGAGGGAGAGAGAGAGGAGAAAAAGTTGGTAAACTAGCTCAACCGGTGTGATCAGCACATTAGGAGATTAGAGGTGAAAGGCTATCTTCATCTCCACAGTTTCAGGAAAAAGTCAACATCTGTTATCTTCTTTAAAATCACAGCAAGTTAGGAATACAGGGAAGGTCTTTATCCTGGCATTTGCAAAAGTAAAACACAACCTCTAAGAGTATCCCACTTGATGGTGGAATGTTCCAGGCATCTCCTGGGGATGGGGCGAGCAAAACGGGCTGCAGTCCCCACTTCTGTAACACATCCTGTAATACTGGAGGTCTGTTCCCAACCCCGGTGGCCACGGTGGCCACTGAGCATCTGAAGTGTGACCCACTAATCCAAATGAGACAGGACAGAAAAGTTAAATACCCGCCAGAGTTCAGTCTTCTCACTCAAAAAGTCACTGTAAAAGTCTCAGTTTTATGTTGATATCAATAACACATTGAACTGGTAATATTATTGATACAGTAGACAAATGTATTTTTAAAATGAATTTAATCTGTTCCTTTCAAATTTTGTATGAAAACAAAAAATTTTTTTTATATGCAGCTGTTCAAAAGTTTGAAGTTAGGGGCTGGGGATTTAGCTCAGTGGCATAAGTGCCTGCCTGGCAAGTGCGAGGTCGTGAGTTTGATCCCTGGTACCACCAAAAAAAAAAAAAAAGTTTGAAGTTAAACGTGTGGCTTAAAGGCTCCCATAAGACTCCTCTTCAGTGGTACTATCTTGCACAGCAAAATAACAAAATGAAAGAAAAGTAAGAGCATTAAGATGAATAAACAAGATTCTCGGTGTTTTCACAAAATTTTAAAGTTATTTTAGATTACTCATTAGTATTGATGAGAGAATTTTAGTAAGTGTTGGCTAAAACTAATATATAAAAATTTATTGTGCTTTATGTTAACAATAAACAATCTTAAAGTAAAATAAAATTAGATACTATGTAAAACATATAAAATAGGAATAATAAATTTTTTTATTTTTATTTTTTAGGAATAATAAATTAGTAAAATGTGTCAGGCCCTTATAGAATAAAATCATAGGGCTGGGGATTTAGCTCAGCCGCATAAGCGCCTGCCTTGCAAGCACATGGTTGTGAGTTCGATCCCTGGTACCGATAAAAAAAAAAGAATAAAGTCATGCAGTTTTATAGAGCGACAGTAAAGACCTATAAATAGCAAGTTGATCCATGTGTGTGGGATTGAAGACTCAGAAGTGGAACGAAGCTAAGTAACTACACACATTTCACACTTTTGGACCCTGATAAGCTAAATTTAAAATTTACATGGAATTGAAACAGTGGAGTCCAACCAAGACCTTTTAAAGCAGAAAGAGAAGAAGATGGTGGTGATGGAACTGTCGCTGGCAGACACGCAGACAGAGGGAACCAGACAGCATTCTGTTGACACAAGAAGAAATAGGACAGCAAAACAAAATTGAGAGCCCTCCCTCCAGGATGTATGTGGACAGACAGAAAAGAGACAGAAAGAGAGACCCTCGTGAGCCCATAGATAGGGAAAAAGACTATATAAAGACTGTGTGTATACAAAAACTCTAAA